TGCAAACTCTTTTGTTTCAGATACAAGCATAGCTCACTAAATGAAAGAGGAATAAGTAGTTCACAGTTGCTAATATTCTCAATACATGCAATAATTTACTCAAAGCTCAACTTCAGAACTTGGGCATATAAATATTTTCAAATATCTTACAATCTCTGAAAACTGAAGTCACAAAATTCTTTTTCATATTCCTTTTTTTTTTTGTCACTAGTATATACTTTGGAGTAGAGAAATGGGTGAGCCCAGAGAAGGTCCATCACATGTAAGACTCTTGTGCGCTTGCACAGCTCAGATCTGGACACAATGATATGTTATTATGGAGAGCTCATAAACCAAACACTGCTGAATGTAACAGTGCGAGTATCAATCCCCACATTGCCCTAAAAATGACATTTCATCACTGCTGGCCGGGCTTCCCTTACACACTCCCCTGAAACAATCACAAGCAATGAATGATAGCTCTTTAGAGATTATGTTTTCCTCAGTAGGATCTGAATTTGAAAGATTCAGAAAAATTTTTTGAGTGGGTGTAACCTGAGGACACTCCAGTTTTGAAAGGGTGTTGAGGCAGTAGAAAGATTTTGAAGGAACATTGGTAAGATGCTCCAGGTCAAAGTAGGGAGTAAAGGAGAAACGTCACACAAGCACCGGCTTCACCGACTGGGCAACTGCAGCCTCCCTTGGTTTTAGACTTGCAGCTGAGTCACAAAATGTCCCTGAGGAACTCGTACAATGCTTCCTTGCTACACAAAACTCACCACAATTATATCACCTCTAGCCTGAAGAAAAGTTGTAGGATACCCATACTTTAAGAGAAGTTCTTGTTAGCAGTTAGCCAATTACTCTAATGGGTAACATTTTCCAAAGTTGATGAGTTATGGGCTTCGTTCTCTTACGCTTCAAAGACTGAGTCAAATAAGACGATAAATCCAGTCTTACTGCCCATAATTTCACCACTAATGACAGAAACCAATATTTGCTCAAACACTCCCTTTCTCCGAATCCTTTGCTTTCCAGACATCTCCGCAGGTGAGGTCAGG